AATAGATGGGTCACACAAAACTGTACCTGCAAAAAAAAAAAATGAGATAGAGCATAATAATCAGATACTCTTTTGAATATGGAAACAAATTGTCTTTTTCATTATTTCAGAGGCTGATTTAAATAAAAAAATGCAAACTATTGAAATAAATTTTTACAACTTTCTTTATGTGTCACTCTCTTTCCTATGAACTTCTGATGACAAAGCTATGACAGATGGCCTTTAGGCTTCTTTGGCCATCCTACTTTATGATCTCTAATTAAGTCCAGATCACATCTTCCATCTGGAAAACACTTTCTGGCAGCAGGAATTCCAGCTACAGAAGGCAAATAAGAGGTTGCACTGCAGGTTTAGAGACTCTGAGCAGCTAGTCTCCTCAAGCTGCCCTTAATAACATGTGAGCTTTAGCAGTAGTTCTAATATTAGTCATATTTGATCACGTATTCCAAAGTAAAATGAATTAAAATACAGCATGTACTCATGCAAAATTGACTATTTCAGTACAAGCTGATATTTTTATCTAACAAGCTGCATGATTTTCTAGGTTAATTAAATGAAGGAAAACTCATTGATTTGTATATTGGAAATGTAATCAGTGAAACATCACATAGAGGGTGGCAGCTGTTTTAAAGCTCAAATAATCCATTCCAGGTGTACTTGTGTAGGGGGGAAGATCAAATGCCTCGTTCTCTTCTGGAATCCATAGGGCATCCAAGACATTCATGTGGAATTGGCTGCAATAGCATGGAACATATGGGAGATCCATGCTTCCTTGGAGTGACATCTGAAGATGTGGTGGATATGGTAAAGCCTCAAGTAATGTTAGGCCAAATATAACCAAATCTCATCTTTCTTGTCTCCCTTAAGGTGCATAGACTCTACCCTTAAGCTCCACTACCTGTATTAACAAGGCCTTAATTTTTCTTCTGGGGGAATGTTAATCTGCTTTGTGTAAAACCAAGAGAAATCAATGGATTTACTTTACAATTAAAAAAAAAGGCATCCTGAACTAAATTTTGCTGGAGAATTATAGCCATGACGTTTAAATATTTGCTAATAGAAATAGATAATAAAATAAATTAGGAGGAGGCGCAAAGAATGCTACATGGTCTTTTAGATGACCTTAAGGAGAACTGAAATACTAGGAAGAGAACAGAGTAAAATAGTGCAAAATAGCTGGTCATATAATTCAGAAACAGTTAGTATAATTTCTGGTACTGACCTAAAAATCATCATCTGAAGACATCAAAGGACAAAAGGATTGTTTGAACAAGGGGTGATTTTGAATCACTAACAGGGTATGACAATGGAAAAGCAAATATTCTTGAATGCATGAGAATACATATTTCCAGTAGAAACAAGAAATTGTTCCTGTTATGCTAGTCACTGAACACATATATTTAGAGTCAAAATATGATCCTATCTGTTTAAGAAAAACTAAGTCCAATTTCAAACCTTCATTGTTCAGATAAGCAAGATCAGACGAAAAAAAAATCAGCAGTTATAGAAAAATGTATATTCTTTATATATATATAAAAGAATCAAGGAGTAATAAAGGAAAATAGTAAAAATATATAATGTTTGTGCAAAGAATTGTTGATTGATAGGTAGAAACACGTTTCTAGCCAATAGAGGAATAAAGCTTTGGAAATTTCTTACTGGATTAGTGGACATTTCAATCCCAACACAGACATTTCTTTACACTTTTCCATTTTGAAGTCTGGGTCCCTACCTACTCAATATCCAGTGGTTTTAGCTTCTGTACATGTTTTCCTATTCAAAAGAACACAGAGAAAATAATCTATAAAAATACACTGCCTACTACAGGAAATTTTTGGATTTTTTTTCCTTGGATAATAAGAAAAAAAAAAGGCATTCTAAATTGATATTTAGTCATTTTCATGAACATTCTCATCATTCTCATCATTTGTTCTTGTTGAGCAGGATGAGAATATCAAAAGTGCAAAATGCTTTCGGTCTGAAAAGACTGTGTACAAATTTCACAAAGAAAGAAAATCTGTTGTTCTTTTTAGTGTCGTTTTCTTTCCTTTGGTTTAGCCCAAATATAGGAAGCTAATAATTTAAATAACTCCACTTCTTTTTAATAGAAAAAAGCATCACAAGTCATTACCTAGCTATAAGGTCAATAATGTGATCTCTTCAGCACTTTCACTATCCTGAGTCAATTGCCCACAACACACTACACAACAAGACCCTCCAGCTCAGGGTGGAAGATAATTTAGTCCCATAGCTCAGTTAAGACCTGGGATGGTGGCAAACACTTTTCTCAGGTTCTGCATCAATGCTGTTCATAACCAGAAATCCTGTAGGAATTTCAGCATTCAGAAATTTTCACAGATGAAGGTAAACTGAGATTGCTAACCTAACATAAACACAGATTATAAACCAAAATGGTCACCTAAGGCACCAGTGCCTTTCTCTATTTTTTCTTTTCTTTTCTTGTCCAGAAAAAAACCTGACTTTTTTGTTTTTTGAAGTCTTCATTGAGTCACTCACTTTTCCCCTTCCACTTAAATCCTCTCCCATTTTCTTTTCTTGTTTGGTACATACCTTTCTGACAGGTAAGTAAGCTTACACGTAAATTTTTAAATGCTCATGAGAAGATTATACAACCAACAGCTGAAATTACTCCATATGTATCACTCTGTAAGTATCAAAAGGAAAAAAATTCAGAAAAAAACTTTTGCCACACTTGCAGTGTTCTTTCTTTTGTGTTGAAAAAAAGGAATAGTCTGGTTACTGGACTCTTATCAAGTGGAATTTTTTTTTCTAATGCAGCTTTTTTGTTAGTAAATATGTATATGCCCAAGCTATATCTCCTACTTAGTAAACTATTCAGAGATCTCAGACTTTTCCTATGACTTATATAAAGACTAAAATTAGGTGGGAACTGAAAAAACCCAACTATTTAAATCAGTTACTACATCAAAAATAGGAAAAAATAACTTGAAAAAAAAAAACATTCAAAATGTTACCACATGTTCAAGCATGACATTATCTTTCAAAGATGAGAACGAAAAACCAACATTAGTAAACCTGGCCTTCATTTTATACATGCATTATAAAACTTGCAGCAAATAGGTAGAACTAGAGGAGACCTTTTATGTAGCTTTATGTAGCTTTCATACTCAATATACACAGAAATAGAGGGATTTCGGAATATGCTTGGCTATTTCTGTGTAGGAATCTTCTATTTATTTTTTTTTCTGAATAAAATAAGCAGTCTATATGGTCAATTTTGCCAATCAACCAACAAAAATTAAGATTTTCTGTAGATCATATTTCCCTATGTCACTGATAGGGGACATAACACTATGTTTGTAAGGCTTATGGCACTGGGGCTAGCTTCTTACTACATATTTTTGAAGTGTCAGCCATAAACTTTTGCTAGGGATCCTGTGAGATTTAGGCAGTAATAAAAATAAATATTTTAAAATGTATATTGAATAAATATATCTTCTGTAATAGCTGAAACAACTCTATATGAAAGAGGTTAAATACAAAAGATTTGATTTTAAAACCATATCTATGGTGTAAAATGAAACTACAAGAAGTGTAATATAGGAATGAAAAACCTCTCTGATGACAGTATATGAGACACAAGGCACAAGCTCTTAGCAGATGAGTAACCTCTTCTCCATCAATCCCACATACAGACCATCAGAATACACTTGAGTTATTCCAAATAATCCACTTTCATTCAGCTTCTCTCAATGGACTTTCTTCCCTTTCTACTGGTCATATCCAACCTTGCTGCCCCAAAGCCGTTTTGCCACAACTTAGACTTTGCTAAATCTCTGTGTTATATAATAGAGTTAGGCTTATATCTCCCACCAGCATGATCCAGTCAAATAGTTCTGAAAAGGTGAACACAGCTATCCTGTCACTTTCAAATCCTGTTCCTTCACTACTCTGGAAACTACTATTTTGCTGTTTTTCTGGAAGGCACAAGATATAGCAAGACACATTAATAGTCTCCAGAATTCCTTCTATCTAAGGAAGTCAAAATGTAGCAGTCTATAAGCTGCACTGCTTCCCAAATTCCCTCATTAATTAGGCAAGGCTTAAAGGGAGAGGACAGAAAAAAAAGCTGCAGGAGGATGAACTTGGAAAGGAGAGGAATACAAATGTGTTTGGGAGATGCACTGCCTTTATGAGCCAAATGCTGCAAATAGCTGCTCTAGCCTTGAAATGAAAACTGATGAACTCCCCATATCCTTCAAAAGCCATGGTAACGCAAAACATTTGGGATATTTAGACAGTATCCATCCTGAGGGCAAATTTTCTACAATGTATGTTCTCCTCAAAGAAAGAAGTGAACAGATTTAGAAACTTTTCCTGCTAGTAGATGTCAAAACCAACAAAATTAAAGTCTTGAAAGTAAGTAGCAAGGGGAAATATATTTTAGTAATGAAAACATAATTACAGCGTCCCTGATAAAGCAAGACCACAAGAAACTAATTTACATAATAATTTTCTGAAACACATGAAGATTACATTTCTTTCTGGGAAAACCATCTATTTTGGATTCACATTCCTCTTGTGAGATTGAAATTCTAAAATTTAGTTTCTGAGTAACAGAAGCACATACCTGGATCCTCTGGTCTAATCATATCTAGGAATATAACCTGCAGTTGTCAAAAAACATGATTTAGACTTTCTTATATAAAATTCAATTTTATCTGTCACATCTGTTTTTCTTTTTTTTTTTTTTTTCCATGCATAACTCTAAGAAATGCCCTCTAAAACCAGAGTATTGTTCTTGAAAAAAGGCAGGGAATAAGGTATTGGTAAATTTTGCAGGATGTTGTTGTCAAAACTCTTTTATCTGTTTACTCGAAAGGATCTTAAAGCTGAATTCAAGGCATCTCAGCTGTGGCTGATCTTGTGTGCTTCTCTTCTTGTGTACACCAATCAGCTGATTCCCTTCCCTTAGGGTCTGTGGCTGAAAAAGGATGCTTGCAATATACTTTGCCTGATCCATTTGTATATTCTTAAATTACTGAGATGGGGGCATTATTTTTGGCTATAAACATACTGAAGATCTACACCTTTGGTAATTATTCTTGAAGTTTGTTAAAGAATACGGTTTTTTTAATAGGTTTTTGTCCTCACAGAGCAAATTTTGTTCTTGAGTCAGAAAATTATTTTCATCTTATTTTCAGTCTAATTAGTAATGTAAAATAGAAATTATCCAATTTCTTAGATTGTTTCTGTACAAAACAACCATGAAAGATTCTGTACTTAAATAATTTAACTCTATGAAATTAATTTTAAAAAATGCAGGCCTTCAGTTGCTGCAGATCAGGAACAATTAATAATGTAAAAGGAATTTCAACATTTGTTTTTCTGTACATAGCATTATTATTCAGTGGCAAATTACAATTCAACATTATATCTACAGGACCACTCAGAAGGACTAGAAATTGAGTTATTAATAAATGTCTTTCTCTTATTGGTTATTAAATTAGATTATTATACACGTAATTATATCATCATGATGAGCCAAGTGGATGAAATAAAAAGTATTCTCTGATGGCTTAATATCAGAATGAATCATTGCTGATGCTTTAATCTTCATAAGTCACTGGGAAAGTGTACCAAAACTTACCTGGCTTCAGGAAGATCAGGAACCATATCCATAGCAAAATGAAATTTCTAGAATTTGGGAGAATTTAGGATATTTAAGACTCCTTATGGAAACTGTCATATTCCTTGTTTGTTTAAGGTGTTTCATATAGGAATATTTTATAAGTTAATATTCACTGTTATTTAGGTAAGATTTCAATCTTTCAGTTCTGAGTATTCAAATGGAAATGGTTTTTAGTAGTAACTGCAAATATCTACTCAGTAGTCTCTTTTACCCCTATTAGTTATTGTGTCATTTTAAATCAAGTTGAGTGACCAACCCGCACTACTTACAGGAAAGCACAAATGTACGAATTGTAAATGGGTTGGTGACATTTTGTAATGATTTCAGTAATGATTTTTTTGCCCTCACTTTTGCTTTACATGTGCCAAGCCAATTCTTCACAATATCAAAAGCTGAAAGGTAAAAGCAAGTTCTTTTTTATAGTCTCATAAGATGCAGATGTATTTCAATTGAACAGGGAACATAGCTTCTTCTGACTTATTTTATTTATCTAGTCAATGTACTGAATAAAAGAGCAGCATGATCCTTTGCTAGATGTACTAAAAGTGCATATGAAAGGTCATGTACTAAGCTGTCCTGATTTCAGCTAGGGTGGAGTTAATTCCTTCTCAGTGCCTTTTATAGTGCCATGTTTTGGTGAGCAATTGCATTGTGCCTCAATTGTTTTTTCCTTTTCTTATAAATTTCATTATTATTTACCATTATGATTGTATTTTAATTTATTATTGTATTTTATTTTATTTTCAATTATTAAACTTCTTATCTCAACATGCAGGTTTCTACTTCAATTCTCCTCAGTTCACTTGGGTGGTGGAAAAGAGCAGGGGTTGAGTGAGCAGTTTTGAGGTGCTTCATCTCCAGCTGGGCTTAAAACCACAAAATAAGCTTATAAAATGGGGCCATCAGTTTCAGCCATAACATGTATATAGGGTATTAAATTCTTGAAAAAGGTATTTATGTTTTGCTTGTCACTTTCTTCCACAGATCACCTAATCCCCTGTAATCTGAAGGAACACATTTTAATATCTCTTTATTTTGCCCTTCATAAAACTTTCTCAGAAATATCATAATACCAGTATTAATAACATGGGTCCAATGCCAAAGTCCATATGGATTTTTTACACAGACAAACACAGAAAATAATGCTTTTGTCTCAATAGAGCTGTACAACACCTGACAGAATTGCAGCATTTGACACAGATTTGATAAGTCTATTTGCTGTGCAAGTAAATATTTTGCAGTGGCAGGGCAAGGAGATAATTTCATACTTGGTGGAGCTCTAGTACACTCAGAAGATTTGCCCTGTGAGTGATTTTAATCCATGTTGTGTCTTCATCAGAGATGCTTCTGAAGTGCTTTGAAAATATTTAGCACCTGTGCATACTCACAGCAATATTGGTGTGTATTTCTTCCCACGTGCTCCTTATCTCCTGACTTCCGAGTCAGCACTGAAGTGATAAAAGTATCATGAGGACTGGCTTTAGCATGCAAAGCTTTCTTTAACTAAATCTTTTCTCCTCTGTTATCCTCAGGCACTTAGGCTGGCGACAGAAGCATATCTACAACTGCAGATGGAAAAGATTCAAATGCCTCAATCCAGGAAAAAAGATATTTATTCATGGATATTTTTCTGCTGCTTACATCAGTCTCTTAACTAGAACAGACTACAAAAGCAACAAGACTAATATAATTCAAGATAGGAAACTAAGTATAAGCACTGGCATTGCATATTACATGTTGATAAGACACATATCAGCCAAAACTAATTAGATATACGAATGGAAAAGCAATTTAAACTTCAAGGGGACAAGAAAAGGAGACAACCAGCCCCTAATGGAGCTTTCAGCCCCTTAGGAAGATGACTATTATTGCCATAAATGCCCATGGATATGAACAACACAATTATCTTTCTGTGAAGTTATTTTGAAGATTATGTACCTCCTTCCTTACTTTTCCTCAATCAACTTGGCATCTGATTTCAAGCTAACTTGCAAATGCAGTGGTAAAACTGTAAAAAAGTATAATAACTTCTAGAGGTGACAGGTAAAGTCACTACTTAGTCACACAGCTGGATTTTGCACCAAGATTTCTCAGATTTTTCTTTTCAGGGCCATGCTGGAATTGAATATTTTTCAGAAACGCATTTTCTGTATCTACCTTAGACTGCAATTTTCAAGAACTAATTTAAAACAGAAGATTACTCATAATCAAGGAGATACACATCCTCAGCTGTTCTGTGTCGCACCTGTGCAGGTTACTCAATACTCTAATAACAGTTAAGACTAAGTGAAACACATACTTCAGTAGCTCACAATTTCTATAACATAACTAAGGCTCTGAAAAGGAAAGCCAGTAAAGGCACACATGTAAAAATAATCTTTTAATGTTATTCTAAAAAAAAAGTAAAACAGCTTTTTTGAAAAAGCAAGTATAACAGTGAGTGAATATTTTAGTTACTGCATGCAGGTAAGTATAGCTTTTTCTGCAGAGAAAAAAGTAGGTAATCCTGCTGCCACAATGTTTTTTCATTTTCTGGAAAAAACACCCTGTTTCAATAGGTATCTGTGCTAGGAAGTGAGCGCAGGATTCTTTGATAAAATCTTTTTCTGCATTAAAAAAAATTTAGCTCTGTTGCATATGTATTAACCTCTCTCAAGCAATTCACAAAATGACAAAAGATAATTGCTATGAAAAAAAGCAAATTATTTTGGTTATGAAAATTTATGCAGACTTGTTAGAGAAATAAACTGTATGAATAAGAGGTGTCTGCCTATCTTTTCACTTTACTGTTTTCAAAAAAGCATTTTCACACTATAGGTCAAATAGAATGGCATATTATGACATAAAATGGGTGAACATCCCTAATTCTATCTGTAGAGTAATAAATTGCTAGTAAAATTGTTTTGAGGAGTAATTTATGCCATCTACTCTAAAAACTCATCAGCTAATGGTATCTAGGCTTATTTTCATTACTTCAGTTTAGATGAAAAATAAAAGGCACTGTGGCATACTGCATTCAGCATCAAAAACAGTTATAGGAAATGTTCCATGGAGTTTACATAAGCTCATACATGTAGAGGTGGCCACAGAAGTTAATACTGCCTAGTGAAATTGAAACAAATTGAAAATTTACATATTATTATAAACATCCAAATTAATTCTTTCCATTTGAAATCAGCAGACAGCTGAAAATGCACGAATAACACGAAAAAGAATCCCAAAAGATTTTTACAAGAATTAAACCCAGTGTTATTGTTTAAAATCATCCATTTACATAGAGGCAGTGGGAGGCACAGAGAGGACTACGAAAATTCTCACATCCTAAGGTGCAGGCTGTAGTAGTACTTTCAGGCTCTGGAGTGGCACTTCATGAGTGCAGCATAGTGGTGCTCATTCTGAATACCAAAGAGGAATTTGGCTCCAAGTGAGGTCTATGGCGGCACAGATCCCACTGACTTTAGTATAATTTTGCCACTGATCTCTGCAGAGAAGTTGGACTTCAAGTAATTGAATACGTGGCAATATTATCTACATCAGTTAACTACAGTTTTAGGATTATGCCCATACCTATCAAGCTGTATTATGTCTTTTTGACTACCATGACCTAAATTCAGACTGGTGAGGTTGAGTGGTCTTTATGTTACACTTAGTGACACAGGTCTGTTTTAAAACAACAAAACCTCAGAATCAGAATTCCCACATTTTTGTCTGGACTGACTGTGCCACTGTGTGCAGTGGGAACTGCCTATGAACATGCAATACAAATGCAGCATAGAAGAGTATGAGCATAGGAGAGTGACTGAGGGCCTGAGAGCACAGGATGATACCAGAGGCCCAGGGCTAAAAATGCTACAGAAATGGTTAATTAGTGGCCACCTCTGGAGGGTAAACTGTACAGGTGATTTTACAGTCGAAAAAAACAAAGAATAAGTACCCAGCAAATGGAAAATGTACCACATGGAGTAGATCTGACAGAAGGTGGAATCAAAGATCAGTTTAGAAGGTTCTGTTCGAAAACACGTGAAAATATCCTCAAAAACCCCAAGAGTTAGGAGGAAGACACCCCACAGCTCCCAAAAACCACATTATAGTCCTCCTGGAAAATGATTTGGACTGATGATTTGCCCAAATACTTCTTGTTTTTTATTAAAGAGAATTAGCTGCAGTAGTAATTTAGTTTATAAATGTTAGCAATTACTAGAATACTAAGAATTAAATTCACTAGAATACTACAGTTATTAGAATTTATAGGTTTTGGAAAATTAGTAATTTTGTGATTATAATGCTAACAGACTGGTATAAATATAATTTACTGATACAAATTCTTCTTTGGGCTTATATTGTGAATTTCTTCAGCACACAAAGAACACACAAGGGATGCTATCGCATTTTTCATGTTTGATGAGACTCAGTCTCTCCTGTGGAAAAAGTTCAGGCACTAACAGAATCATGTTTATGGGGCTACTTATGACACAAAACAGCTGCATTCACTTTTTACTGTGTTCCTTTCCTATTCAGTCATATATTCAAATATTTGTATGGCTTCTTTTACATTAAAGATAACTGATCCTCAAAACTCTTTATGCTGCTCATCGCTGAAACAACCTTTTGAATTCGCAAGTTTTACTGTTACCGCCTCACATGTGGCAAACAGATACTTGGAGTATTATCACATTCTGTTTCACCAAAACGTCAATTCTCTCTCCAAGCAAACATGTATGATTGGAGTCACACAGGATGATGTGAAAATACCAGCTGGTAACCCAGCTGTGGTACCTTGTTACTGACTGCAGCCATCCAAGTGAATGCTAAGCTCATAGGCTGTAATCCTCTCAGGTATGGATCTGGATGCCTTACTGCAAAATCTGTATGCACCCTGAAAGTCTTGCACTCAAGGTCTTAAAGCTACTTATTCATATATAAAATTCCAGGTAAATGACTGAGGAGGGTTTTAAAATCAAGCTTCACGCATTTCTCTGAGGAGCTGAAGATCACCAAAAAAAAAAAAGATTTTAATAAAGAAGAAATATAAGCCTCTTATCCTCAGTTACTCAGAGCCTTAATCACTGAACTGTCCTTCCTTATTTACATAAAATAATAATCAGTAATGTACATTTTCACATCAAATTAATCCCTCACAGTTGACATTTATTTCTTTAAGAGGCATCTTCAGTAGTGCAACTGTTCACTCTTTGGAGCCATGTTACACACTTTAGTCATTATGCATAGGAAAGAAAATAGACAAAACAAAGGGAATTCACCTTCTACTTTTCCTTTCTTAGCTCTATTTAAGGTTAAAAATACAAGATGTCTCTTTAAACACACAGGGAACAGAACACATAATCAAAAAGAGCCAATCTGCGTGCAAGGAACTGTCAGATATTCAGATTTTATATAGGAAGTCATTTTCATAGTGAATTTCAATAAAACCTCAGATTTTTATTCAAGGAATTTTTTTTCTGCTGTTTTGCTTTTTTTTTTTCCCCTTGATAGATATTATTACGAAACAAAGCTTTCTGTATGTCTTGAACCCAGTTCTATTGGAATAAAAGATAGTTTAGCACAGAGAGACTTTTGCAGTAGTGTAAACTTCATTTGAACTTGGAAAGAGAGTCTGGCATGGCAGGCAGAGCTGGGTCAAATCCTGCAGCTGTAACAATTTGATTCTTGATTTTGTGACACTGAATATCACCTTGGCTCTTCATAACTAGATTTTGGGATCAATTTTGTCTACAGATGCAATCCATAGCTGGTAGAATTAGGATATACCACAGAAGATGCTTTTAACTTATTAATAAAATCAGTTAATTTTAATGAGATCTTTTTGGCACAAATTAGGAAGAGAGCCAGTGCAAGCTGACTCACTGGAAACTGTTTCAGAGTTGAGACTGTTTTAGCATAATAATAGAAGTGATTGTCGTTCTTTGAGAAAAACCATATCCCATGCCTATATAAATGGTGATAATAACTGAATGGATTGCTAAAGCTATATTTTCAAAGAGAAGCTTTTGATCTTAAGGACTCCAGAAAGTTTTTGGCAAGGAGGAATGGGAAAGGTCATGCCTGTGTCTGTACTGTATTTTTCTTTTGTGGGCATAGCAATTAGTACATGAAATTATGGAAAAAAAATCCAATTTTCTCAAAGAAATTGGATTAGAAGAGAATCAGATAGAATAAATAATTTGAAAAATGGATGTTTATAATCTCAGTGATGTTTCTTTGGTGGAACATTATGGAAATCAGGCTGGATGCAAGCAATATGCTGAATAGAAGATATATTAAAAGCCTTTCATTCACTTACATGTGCTTATCCAAGTGCTACTCTTAAGGTAATCTAAAGACAAGCAAAAACAATATAATGACATCCATGGAGTTGACATGCTATGAACAGCCTTTCAGGGAAAACTAAACTGTCAAACAAGGTTCTAACTTGTTGAAACAGTAGGAATCTGTGCTTGAAGGCCTCTTGTATCCCTGCATTTTATTTCATACATGGTCTTGAGAAATTTCACAGGTGCTGTTCCAATGTGACTGGGTTAACCCTGTGGCTGTTTCTGGTCCGGAACAAATAGGTGTCGCTGGTAAAATTCAGTTCTGCTCCCATTCTGTCATCTGAACTTTGGCTGCATTGTAAGAGGTTTGATCTAAGAATGCCTGAAGGTGGCAGTTAGTGATGATCTGTACCTCAGGACCTGAAGGGAAAAATTAAAAAAAAGAAAGGGATTGAAAACACAGAGGAATTTGATTCAGGCACCTGAATAGTCATTAGAAGAATTTCAGCAGTAGAAAATGTAATAAATAAAGTTCTACTCTACATGTTGCTTTTAGCATCACTCAAATTTATCTTTTTTCTGCCTCATTCCACAGCTTTCCTTGAAAAGCTTTTCTAAATTGCATACTGGAAAAAATAATAAAAAAACCCCAAAAAACCAAAACAAAGCAAACCCCCAAAAACTTAAGAGATAATTCAATTTAAATGAAGTGTAAAAGTATTAAAAAACTTTTTTTTTTTTTT